TTATTATTATTATTATTATTATTATTATTATTATTATTATTATTATTGCTGTTGTTGCTGTGACTTTCTCATAACTGGAAATGAATACATCTTCTCAATAAGCAATTTTTCCTGAAAATCAAACTTAGAAAGTTAATGCATAAGTAAAAAAAGAATAGGTGCCTATTTTCCTAGAACAACATTAACTGGCATAGTTAAAATTGATTGGCACGGTTCATATTAATTGGTGCGCAGTGTTCTATTTCATATGCAATACTTACTTGCCCATCAGGGATAATAAGAGCATGTGTACCGTCCTCCCCAATGGAAGAATGCCTTAGACCGCTCATGGGGGCATGGCAGGCTGCAGGGCAAGATGAGGGTTCCATAGGGAAGCTGTGGAACCCATTAGGAAAGCCTGGGACTATGTATTCAAAAAATGAAGAAATGGGAGCACAATTAGCTTTACACAAAAAAACATTTAGCAAAAATACCCCAAATACTTTGCTAGTAGACCAATGGACCCAGATTGTATGATGGAAGTTCTCTACTGTAACGAGACAGAACAATTATAAAAATTACGCTAAAGTACCTCAAATCTAAGTGCAAAATAAATCAAAAGTCAAGATAACCAAATCAAATAATAATCTTCCTACTTCTCATGTATACTTTCTACAGTAGTTCTGGCGATATTTTACTGGAAACTTACGCATATCTGATCATTGTGTTTGGTTGCCTTAGAAATAAAGCAACAAGTTCACATAAAACTTAAAACTTTACAATAAGCAAAAGACATGAATGAAAAGTAGAGCTGATTTTATGGGACCAGATGATTAAGTAATTAACAACATCTACTTGGAGATGAAATAGGTTGATACAACTGTTGCAAATGTACTGAGCCCTACAAGTATCCCCAGTTCAGAGAAAATGTATATGGAAACAAGGCAATGATTCTCTTGCATAAACTAGAAATGCCCAATATTATAAACATATTACAACTGCATTATAAAAGTGGATTACGGTTTCAACTGTGAGATGACAATGTTGGCAACTCAACACTGACTCAAAACAGGGCCAAATTCCGATAACATTTTATATAAAGTAGGGTATAAATGTTTGGCACATGCTTAAAGAATGGTTTCACCTCATACAAATATTCAAATTCCTATCAAAACAAAATATTCTAACCAAGAAGAAATGTCTGTGGAGATTCTCAGTCATCCAGGTCATAACTGACTCAAAGGTGCATTTTTCTTTAAAAGGCAACTGGACTGTTTTTTTCCTTGAGGAAGATATTTTGCTTCTCATCCAAGAAGCTTCATCAGTTCTGATGGCAAAGGGATGGAAGGTTCCACAACCAATTGCAACCAGTGACCCTGAGGGCACACATAAACTCCCAAGTGGCCTCTACAGCTCTCAGAGAGTGCTAATGCAAAGAAATACAATCCTTCCATCCCCCGCCATCCTATCAGAATCTATCGATTTCCCTCCCTTATCCAGTCTCAACTGTCAATACCTATCCTTCCATCCCGCCACCATCAGAACTGATGAATGAAAAGCATTCATTGGATGAAAAGCAAAAGGTTTTTCTTCTTCTTCCACACGGAAAAAACAGTCCAGTTGTCTTTTGAAGAAAAAAGAACCTTTGAGACACCAGGAAGAAATGAGTAAAGGCCAACATAGGCCTCATTCCCCTATCCAGTTTGTAAGAGGGTCTCACTCTCGGGTGTCTGGGGAGTCCGGGGTAGTTCCAGTTCAGCTGCATTCCTTGTAATGACAACAGGTTCCTCCACCACACTGATACTATTACACTGCATCAGATCCTGCAGCAAATTAAATATCTCTTCAGCTCTTGAGCACTTGAATGCAAAAATTCCTAGGCAAAGAAGAGAAGGTCTATTTTAATGCTAGTATGTTCACATTCTCTAAAACAAGAAATGCATTTCAAATAAAGATAAAGCAGCGCTAACAAAATGCACCATTACTCCAGCCATATACCTCTATTCTAAACATTAGCAGATTACTAAATACAATGAAAGCAATATGATTGCATAGACATTTGGACAAATCAAAAGGATAGGATTAAGCTGTAACATGTGATTAATGCACACTGAAGCCAAAGGTCTGGTCCTGAGATTACACCTTAATTTAGGAGCCCCTTAGAAATATGTTGACTGCTTACCAACTTAATTTATATCTTTGGACATGAGGACAAGTCTTCAAAATTATAAATATTACTGTAAATGCTAATTGTGTAATTAGTTATACAAATTAATAATAAGGGAAGCAGAAAAAATGAATCGAAAGGTGATACTGTCATGATGCATTTATTGAAAGAAACTGTCTCTTTAGAGAAGAGCTTCAGGACCACTGAAATTTCAAGTCCCTCATTTGCAAGAAGCTGGGAAGAAGAAACCATAATTTCTTTTTTTTTTAAACAAATTTTATTAATTTTAAAGACAAACAAAACATCATTAAACATTGAAAACATAAAACCTCTTTCCATTATAAATCTTTACAAGGCAGGTAAAACATTATTTTATATCACATACTTCTAATTTACCCCATTTCCATATAGACACATAAATTCCCTTAACAAATTTCACATTATTTCTCTTATTCAATCACATTTCTTTTCTATATTTATCTACTATTAAATCATCATATTTATATTTCCCTCTGACTTGTTTACAATTATTCTCATCTGACATTCCTCCGAGATTTTAATTCTCAATCGAATATACACACACAAAACACAAAAACATAAAACTTCCTTTTAGAAAGTAGCTTGGCCCCAGATTACCTCTTTTTGTATGGACTTCAATTAAATTCATGCTCTTCTTGTATATCGTTACCTATCTTGTTTACCATTCTATATCTTCTATATAACTCCTCCCCGCTTTTCACTCTTAATTCTGTTTTATATATTTCATCTTGCTAAATCAATATATTTATATCTTTTGTCCATTCTTTTCCATTTAAACATTTATCTCATTCTCAATAATAAAAAAAGATAATTTCTCCTGAAATCACTAATCAGAGTATGATGCCTTTCTATCATCCCCCTAAATTGACATTTAAAATAGCACCTAAATCCCAATCTGATTCTGCTTAGTACATTCTACTATTTCAAAAACAAATACTACAATAATAAATCTATAATAACATCGACACATTAGCCCATTAAACTCTATAATTAAACTAATTTTTTAAACATTTCCTTTAATATTTTATTAAAACTTAAAGTCATTCATTATTAAACATTTTAACATTATACTTTAATATTTTAAGCTTTTATTAAATCTTATAAAAATCTTATAAAAATTCTATTTTTAATACAAATACTACAATACTATCATATGTACTTTGCAGAATCCTTTTTTTTTAAATTATACATTACCCTTTGTCCCTAAAAATTTTTTTCTTTTTCCCATCTTGTTTTATACCTTTGTGACTTTTTTCCCCCTTTACACTTTCTTTCTTGACCCTCCTAGCCTTTTTACTCACTCCTCTTCTAACCTCCGCCTTTTTGGCTTCCCCTCTCTGTTGTATTCTTCTTTCCTTTTGCTTTCTAACATTATATTGGTTTTGCATCTTATTTTTCTCTTTCATAGATTTTTTTTTAAGTCTTAAGTCCTTCCTTTTCCCTCCTCTCTTTCTCCTTTCTTTCTTGATCAAACTTTTTAGTTCATTAAAAATGGCTTCTTCTTCCTCTGCTTCTTCCAGCTGTTGTTGAATTTGCTGAAAAATAGCAAGTGCCATTTCTAAAAAGCAAAAGGCTTCTCCCATAGCGTCCTTGCCTTCTTTCCTTATTTTTGCGTATTGTTTTCTTAGTTCATCAAGAGATAGACCCATTATAAACTTTTTCTTCTTCTTTTTCTTTATCCTCTTCTTCTTATTAAGCCAACCAAAATATTTCCAAACTTAAAACAATTCCCAAAAGTCCCAAAGTCATCAAACAGTCCAAGCAAAGCACAAAGTTCTTCCCTTTGCAGTTTCTCTTCCTGGGGTAATATCAGTTAGGAAAAAAATCCAATCTGTATTTTAAAGCCTTTTTACAGTTAGTTTCTAGTCTCTTAATCTTCAAGGCATCTCCTCCAACAAAGTCTTAATATAATTTTTTTTTCCAAACCTCTCCCTTCCCACTTGTAACAAAGGGCTTTAAATTTTTACCTTCTGTTAAAAAGCAGGTTTTCCATGTCTATTTATTTGTTCCATAAGGGAGGGAGAGTAACTTTCCCTTTCAGCACTTTCATCCGCTGCTTTAAGAAACCTCCACTGGGAACATTGTAACATCCAAAAAAATAATAGTTTTCAAGGTATTAAATATATCCTTAAAGTCCTGGTTCAGCCAAAAAAAACTTTCACTTTGTAACTTCCTCCTTCTTCCTCCTGCACATTCTTAAGCCAGTTGCCGGCTTCTTTGTGGCGGCCATTAAGACCGCCGCTCCGCCGCCTTGAGAAAAGGGGGTTTTGCCGGCTGGGGAGGGGGTCTGCGATACCCCTCAACCCCTGTCCGGATCCCCCCTATCTTCGGCTGCCCCAACAGGGCAGCCTTATCCTCCAGATCCATCGGGATCAGAAGCACCAAGACGGCTAGCACGGCAGGGATCGCGCAGAGTCGTGAATCCCTGCCGTCGCCGAAGCCTGGCAAACCGGAAGCAAGAAACCATAATTTCTGAAGAATAGTTGAGCTCAAACTATTTAGGACTTCAAAATCAAAACAAAGATATTTGGTTATTGAACAAGTCTCTCAGTCATGCAGCTATCCTCATCTACTGGGTTATACATAAGATGGAATTATGGTTTCATTTGTGCAACATTCTGGCCAAGAATAAAAGTGTTCTATAATTTGAATGCATTTCAACATATCCAGGTGGTATAGATATACATAGTTAGAACATAACTTAGAACTGCTAACCATGAAATACCGGTAGGACATTTACATTACTGTTTATTGTTGTTGTGTTTTGAAATAATTATAAAGAGAAAGAATTGAAATTGATTTTTTTTCTACAGTTCCACTGTTATTCACTTGCACTTTCCATATTCCAATGAAAGTAAGAAACAAAATAGGAATTGAAAAAGAACAAGTTATTATTATTGTTACTAGTATTACTTGGTAAATGTTCAACTATGCTGCCCATGAGAAATTTGAGGAAAACATTATCTGTATCTTATTTGGGCAAAAAAGTAAGCCTGCAACAGCATGAGCCTGCATAAAGAATCTAACAAGCTGTTTCCATTTAAATTTGCTAGCTCAATGTTGAGGTTAGACCCTCTTTTGCAAATCATCAGTAATTAACAGGATTGTACTGGTACATGTCTGGGAAGCACAGTAATTTGCTTTTCTATTAAACTGCAACACCTGCCCACTACCCATAAATACTTTTATCAATTGACTCTCTATTCTGAACTAACCAATCAGATACCGGCATGCACAGATATAAATCAAAGACCCATAGCAACAAGGACAAGAACATGGCAACAACAGCTGCAATTCTGAATAAAAATATTCTAAGACACACAGACACACACACACACACACACACACGTCAATAGATCCTACACATTTTCTGTCTTAACTTCCTGATATTAAGAATGATCATTCAAGTGAAATAAGCTTTAAAATCCATGAGAGAAAGGAATGTGAAAATAATCAAAGGACGTTCACATAATGCAAGGGAAATAATGAAACTTACAACCATTGAAAATCAAACCTGCCTTTTTTATCCACACTGCTTTGACTCAAGGCCTTTTGTATTTTTTTACTACTTCATCGGTAACATAAAAGATCACACTGCTGGCACAAACTAATGCCAATGGTGATCAAACCATGGGTTACAAATAGGCAGGCAGCTAGATAATATTCCTACCAAAGTCACATTATAGATAGGCCTCAACTTATGACCGTATGTTCAACAATCATGAAGTTACAGTGGCACTGAACAAATGGTATTTATGCCTGCCTGTCTACTCCTTCCCCTGCCTACTTCCCTATCTTTGCCCACAGCTCTGCAAGGCAGCTGCTGGCCACACAAGGCTTCCTTTCTGAGGTAATATGTGGCAGTTTCCTCATATGAGGACCTGGGGGAAGAAGTCCTCATGTGGCCAGCACTGCCGTGCAAAGGCGCCAGGCAAACCTCATCAGAATTGGGAGCAAGACAGAGAAGGTCAGTCGGGGGTAGTGAGAGCAGTAAGGGTCTCAGAATGGAGGGGGGGGCAAGAGTCGCTGGGGCTGGTTTAGGTTGGGGCTTCTTACAGCCCCAGAGCCGTGGTGTGCAAAGTAACTTCTGAGCAGCAGCATGACAAGAGCCCCCCAACCGTGCAATTTTAGGGTGGCTTGCTGCTTTACAAGGCAGAGTACAGAGGGCCAAAAGGGCAGAAATGGGGGGAATAGGCAGTTAGGGGGAGTTGAAGGGGAGGCATTCCCTTACCTTGGAAGAACCAAAGGTTGGGGCTGGAAGGGACGAAGCTGGGAATTGCTTGGATTGGTATAGGTCCTTGGCTAACAAGTGGAGGTTGCTAACCATGACAATAGGAAGCGCTAGGACTGCCATTGCAAAGGAATGGGCCCACGCTTTATGGCTGCATTACTTAAAGCTTGAGCTTTACAAACTGTATCTCTAGTGAAAGAAATTCTGGTCCTAACAGCCATCATAACTTGAGGACTATCTACAAAGGTGAAATGATGCATAGCATAGATAATGGAAAAAATTGCATTATAATGTTATAAGAGAAAGTTAACGCCATATTGTTCCACAAGATGCAGCAGTACCTAAATTTAATAACAAAATAAACAAAAAAATATATAAAATTTATTTTGTTATATCAGCTCAAGAGATCTAGCTAGAACTTTAATTCCAACCCTGTTAGATTTAGATTGGAATTTTAATCTGGATTAAAATACTTCTGTTTTTAAAAATGTTACTATTCTTAATATAGTCTAACTATTCTTAATGCAACAAAGACTTAAATGATCTCAGAGTTATTCCCAATCTTGCCCATCTCACCACAGACAAAGTGATATGGATTTAAAAAACTATCAGAGAATATTGGCCAGAACATTGTTGCAATGCTGTTAATGTGAAAGATGTTAGAAACATGAATACAAGGTATTTAGACTTTCCATTAATATATGGTTGGCTTTTATGAAACAGAATACTGGATTAAATAAGGCTTTTAAAAAGTGCTCTCTCACTAATATTTATCTGAAAACAAAAATGTGAATTTTCTCAAATGTCATATTAGAAGACTGTTTCTATTTTTGAATCAGATTTTACAACATCCTATGAGGAGAGAAATTAGATATTATCCCAAGTTAACAGCTGTCCTGCTACTTGGAGAGAAATTTACATACCCTGTCCAGTTAGGCAGCGACGTCCACTTTCAAAGGAGAAGAGGTTGGAATCATAGCCATAGCGACGCAAGCAAAGGTATGGCCACCGAACAGCATCGCGTTTATGAGTGTGCAAAACAAGCTCCCTCTGTGTCAGTTCCATAATCCCTGAGCCCAGCTCCTTGCCCTCATCATCAACATTTGTCACCTGTAGAAACCAAAGCCAGTTGTCAAGAGCTACTAGTATAAACACTAAACACCATATAGTCACCGTGGAGTTATAAACTAGTAGTGTGGCTTATTCAGGAAGGTACACCAGCCCAATCACATCTCCATGAGGCAGTCATTTTTTTTCTTATTCAGTGGTGAAATGCTTTAGAGCAATGTTTTTCAGCCTTGGCAATTTTAACATGTGTGGACTTCAGCTCCCAGAATTCCCCAGTTAGTGGACTCAGAGTAGAAGTCCACACATCTTTTTAAAAAAGAAGTAAAAAAGTAAAAGATGCTTATAGGTCTTTACCACAAGCAGCTGTGGGACACGCTGACCACTGCATGATTCCCCTTGTACCTGCCTACAAAGACTTGAAACCAACAATTACATCAGTGAGGACTTGGTCTGATGACGCAAAACTGAAGCTCCAGGCTTGCCTTGATTGCTCTGACTGGAATGTTTTTGAAGATACCTCTGCAGACCTAGATGAGCTCACAGATACTGTAACAACATATGTCAGCTTCTGCGAAGACTTATGTGTACCAACAAGGAACCTGCAAATATATAGTAACAATAAACCTTGGTTCACAGCTAAACTTAAGCAGCTATGTCCTTCCAAAGATGAAGCCTCCAGAAAAGGTGACAGAATGCTATACAATCAGGCCAGAAATATATTAACGGGAGATCAGAGTAGCAAAAAGAAGCTACTCTAAAAAGTTGAGTAATCAGTTCTCAACAAATGAACCAGCAAACATGAGGAAAACTCTTAAAAACATCACCTGCTACAGCAAACCTTCTTCCCAGGCAGAAGGAAATCAACAACCAGCAAATGACCTGAATGTGTTTTACTGCAGGTTTGAAAGGAAACTACAGCCACCTATTTCCACAACCCCCATCTCAAACACACCAACAATAGCCAAGCCTCCTACAACTGGCCACAATCCATTGGGCTCACAACCTCTGGTGATCACAGAAAAAGAAGTGCAAGATCTATTTCACCGACAAAAGCCAGGAAAAGCACCAGGGCCAGACAAGATAACTCCTTCTTCCTTAAAAGTCTGTGCTGACCAATTGGCCCCCATCTTCACCTGAATCTTCAATAGATCACTAGAGATGTGCTATGTTCCTTCCTGCTTCAAGTGCTCTACTATCATCCCAGTGCCAAAGAAGCCCTCTATCAAGGAACTGAATGACTACAGACCAGTTGCTCTAACATCTGTAGTTGTGAAAAACTTTGAAAGGCTCGTGCTGTCCCACCTGCAAACCATCATGGATTCACTATTAGATCCCATGCAGTTTGCATACCCAGCAAATAGATTGACAGATGATGCTGTTAACATGGCTCTGCATTACATCCTACAACACCTTGAATCTCCAAATACCTACGCACTTGTAAGTGGATCATAAGCTTCCTAACAGACAGGAAGCAGCAGGTGAAGCTAGGCAGAATCACATCTGATACCCGTACAATTAGCACAGCCCCCCCTCCAAGGCTGTGTGCTTTCTCCTCTTCTTCCTATATACCAATGACCCAACAGGACAGACACAGACTTCAGAGGATAATTAGGACTGCAGAAAAAACAATTACTACCAACCTGCCTTCAATGGAGAACCTGTATACTGCACAAGTCAAAAAGAGGGCTGTGAAAATGTTTACAGTCCCCTCACATCCTGTACATAAACTGTTTCAATTCCTACCCTCAAAACAACACTATAGAGTGTTGCACACCAGAACAACTAGACACAAGAACAGTTTTTTCTCAAAAGCCATCACTCTGCTAAACAAATAATTCCCTCAACACCGTTCAACTATTACAAAGACTGCACTACTATTACTGTTTATCTTCTCTTCACTCCTTATCACCCATCCCCTCCCACTTGTGACTGTATAACTGTAACTTTGTCGCTTGTATCCTTACGGTTTATATTGACTGATTCCTAGTATGATTTGATTGCTTAGTGTACCCTAAGACTATCATTAAGTGTTTTACCTTATGATTCTTGATGAATGTATCTTTTCTTTTATGTATACTGAGAGTATTTGCACCAAGACAAATTCCTTGTGTGTCCAACCACACTTGGCCAATAAAGAATTCTATTCTATTCTATTCTATTCTATTCTATTCTATTCTATTCTAT